CAACAATATATGCAGTCTCTTCTGTTGCAGGGATCGGTACATATGTATAGTCCATATTATTTTTCTGTATAATCTTCTAGTCCTCTTCTGTTCAAATCATACACATTCTGTAACTCGCTAGGAGCTCCTTCGCGTCAGCAGCTATACACAATGAAAGGTCCATGTACAGCCTACTTTCTCTACTATCATGTATGGCCCTTTGAGATAGGCTCATGTTCATTTCGGCGAAGCAAAGACTTAATGTAGTCATCCTTGCAATTAATTCCTCCTGTGGAGTGGCCCATCTTAAAGCATGTAATTTTTCCCCTTTTGTACTACGTTTAAGGAGTTTCTGAAGACCATCCTCTCTTTCCTGCATTTATAAAAATACTCAAAAAATTTACACACTAATGAATTAGATTATAAGGGATGCAATATACCATTAAAACACACTTTGTATTTGTATACCCGTTCTTCTGTTGGGTTGCAAGATTTGCAGCATTACGAAGTGTTATTTGCACTGGATTAAAATCAAAAACTCATGTTATAATTAGTGTCAATAATACTCTGTATATAGTAAATATATAATGCTCGAAATAATATACCTGATGACTGATTTTGAGTTGCCAAAGGTGTTTTATATGAAACATCAGGCACATTTTTTTTTATCTTTGTCACTGCCCAGAGTACCCCTTCACAGTGGAAAAGTGTATTGAAATGTTTGTTAAAAGAACAACACTTATTATCAAGTTTCTCAAAGTAATTTTTTTTTTTTTTTTTTTTTTTTTTTTTTTTTAATTTGAATCACTAGAGCACTTTGAAGTTTGAAGTTATCCCACCATCATCTTAAACAAGGGCACTTTTGTAGTTTATTTTTCTCAGCCCTTTGGTTGCGGTTGTAATTTTGTCTTGAATTTAGTACTTTTTGTACATTTGTTGTATTGTAGTCTGTGTTGGGTATCAGACATATGGTCCAGTTCTTGAGAAGCCCACCTTCATATAGATATATCGGTGATGATCAAGTGATCAACCACCTTGATTTCTCTAGAAATAGTCCACTTGCAATTTTATCTAGAAAGTTCTTGCTATCACCGTCATATAATCCACCCACTCCAAACACTTATAAATAGTTGGAGTGTACTTCATTTACACCCATCCACAAACTTTGTCATTCAACATACATTTCCATACTCACTAAACTAACTTGTAGGGTTTTTTGTAACTTGGGTGTTATTTTCTTAATAACTCTTTCTTGTCGATTAATTACGTTTTTGATAGCCCTCTTACTCTTACAGTCTGAAATTTTGTTGCAAAACAATTTAATTGAAAATAGATTATTGTACACAACATTCGATTCTTCTCTTTAATTCCTAGAATATATACCAATGGAAAACTATTGGTAATTGGTTTTCTAATGGCTTTATACTCATTTATGGATGGATTAATTTGGCCATCTATATACAACTAATACGGAGTACTGTTTTATCATTGTGTGCGAATATAAAATTAATTTAACAAAGGTACAAATAATGAATCAAAATTTTGAAATTAAGGGGTGTGAAAATAGATGATACTCCAGATTCTTTTAATCTATAGAGCCATTGAATCATCCACATTAATAGAGTAGAGTTTAATGGCGACGAATATATGAAGAGGTTGACATCGAATTGTCCATCTCTCCAAGAACTATTTATCGGACAATGTAGTGGTTTGAATCATACATTGTATGTGGAGTTATTGACGTTAATGTTGTTAGAAATACATTGATATCGCAAATCTGATTAGTACACATACCCCTTCGTGTTAGTATTAAAGCACCAAATCTTGAATACCTTAGTATTGAAGATGCAATAACATATTATATAATTGATGATCTACCTTTGCTAACGAATGCAAATTTTTATCTTTCCGGCGGTATGACTGATGAAGTTAATGAATTAATAAACAATTCCGATACAATAATTTTGTGACTTGTGTATTGTCAAAAAGATGGAAGAAAGTATGGCTCAATTCTCTATACTTGAATTTAATGAGATAGCAGAATATTATCATACATCAGCGCCTTCATTGTATAACAAGGTGAAAATTTGTTGCAATAATTTTGTGACCAAGGTTTTAGTTGAAAACGATATCTCTTATATACAACGTTTTCATTGCGAATTTTCTTGCGATGATGATATTGAAAACTACGAGTCATAGTTAAATGATGCATAGAAACGCACGTGAATATTTTGAAGTTGATCTAAATTTTTCTTTGGCTCGATCTCAAAGTTATAGGTTTCTAGAGTTGATTTGTGGCAAGAGGCTTACGATTTTGAAATTAAGGGGTGTGAAAATAGATGATAATCCAGAGTATTAAAGTCATCCACCTTAGTAGAGTAGAGTTTAATGGCGACGAATATATGAAGAGGTTGACATCGAATTGTCCATCTCTCCAAAAACTATTTATCGAATGTCTGATTCAAACCAGTACAAATCTAACTACTAATATATAATGTAAGATCTCTATTTGTCGAATGAGATTCAATTAAGTTATCCATCTTACCTTAATTAAATAAACAAATGCACTACTACGTATACAGTCTAGTATGGAGAATATGAATATAAACAACTGATATTTATATAAATAAATACTAGTATATATTTTCAAGGCTAAGTATAGTGTTCAATACAAATTCAGTATGATTAAGCACATTATTAAGCATCAACTTTCCGCCTATTATTGTTCCTTACTTTCCTAAAACATACGGCAATTCCTTAAGCTACTCAATGACGATCGATGGTCTGGCAAGTTAAGGTCGCACATATATTCAGAGAAAGCAATAGAGCAGCGAATTGGTTGGCAAGGTCGAGGGGGAAACCGGCCGCTTTCGAACCGAACAAGCAAGCATAAGCAATGCAGTTGCAAAAAGACCCATAAGCAGAACCATTCAACCATTGCACAAAAGAGGTAGGGTGTTGGAGAGTTCCATCTCCACACAGAAGTACTTGTGTTTGTTTCTCTCATTTTATTTGTGTTTGTTTTTGTTTGGTGTGTTTTGAGGAGGTACAAAGGGTGTGTATTTATAGCTATCAAATGTTCCCTCCGTTTTTAAATACTCTGCTCCCTTTCTTACTGCTATTTGCTTTGATTCTTCATCAATTCTTCTTCAAACTTCATTGATTCTTTGGTGATTTTCGTTAATTTTAATTTGATTTTCATTAATTATTTAAGGTTTTCGTTAATTGAATTCTTCAGTAATTAAGGTTTTAATCAATTTTTTTCGCAGTTTTGGCGATTTTCGATTCAATTTCTGTTCGAAATGGTAGCTAATTTAACAAATTTGCTCATTTATCAAATTAGCAACTAAGTATTTACTAATTATTTGCTCATTTGCTAAATGAGCAAAAAATTGATTGCTCATTTTTCAAATGATCAAGAAACGTTTGCTTATTTTACAAATGAGTAACTAATTCTTTGCTTATTTGGCAAATAAGCAATAATGGTTGCTCATTTCACAAATGAGAAAAGAAATGCTTTTGATTTAATGAATTATTAAAAAAATCTTTGCTCATTTATTAAATTAGCAACTAACTATTTGCTCATTTGCTAAATAAACAAAAAAATTCTCATTTTTCAAATGTTTAAAGAAATGTTTACTTATTTAATTTACAAATGAGTAACTAATTATTTGCTTATTTGACAAATGAACAAAGAAATGCTTATAATTTTATGAATTATTAATGAAATCTTTGCTCATTTGACAAATGAGCAACAACGCAACTACGTTATGCTTATTTATGATATTAACAATTAAGTATTTGCTCATTTGACAAATGAGCAACTAACTATTTGCTTAACTATTTAATTATTTGTTAAATGATAAAAAAATTAATTGCTTATTTTCCAAATTAAAAAATGATCAAAGAAATGTTTGCTTGTTTTACATATGAGTAACTAATTATTTGATTATTTGACAAATGAACAAACTAATGGTTGTTCATTTCACAAATGAGCAAAGAAATGCTTGTTGATTAAAGAAATATTTGCTCATTTAATTTGACAAATGAGCAACTAACTATTTGCTCATTTGACAAATGAGCAACTAAGGGTCTGTTCTCATTGACTAAACTGAACTGAAAATTATCGTATGAGAACAGGCTCTAAGTTTTTGTTCATTTGTTAAATTAGCAATTAAGTATTTGCTCATTTGACAAATGAGCAACTAAGATTTTGCTCAATTGTTAAATTAGCACTGAAGAAGAGGAGAGAGAAATCGTTGATCTTCAATTTTTAGGGCCTGTTCTCTTACGATGAAATTCAGTTCAGTTCAGCTCACTTCACTTCAGTTCAGTTCAGCTCAGCTCAGTTCAGCTCCTAATTTCCTTCTCTTATAAAATATTCATTTCATTTCAGTTCAGTTCAGCTCAGTTCAGCTCAGCTTGGCTCAATTCAGTTCAGCTCAGCTTAGTTCAGTTAATGAGAACATGCCCTTAGTCTCCATTGTAATCCCACCTTCAAGCTTTGATGAGAGAGAAAAAGGAGTATACAAATTGTACGTAATTTGTTTTTTAATAATTACATTATTGCATCCTTAATATAATTTGGGACATAACAAGGGTGTTTTGCTAATTATATTATGTTGTCCTTGTGTCTTTATCTAAAAGTTCAGTTCAAACTTTTAGATATTTTGAAAATGGCATAAAACTCTATATAAAAAGGTAATTATTGACACAATTTTGGCACTGGCTGATTACATAATTCTATAAGCAAAAAACACAAAAAACTGCCTAAATTTACAGTATCTTTACATTTTAGTTAATTAATAATAATACATTCAAAGGTTCTCGACGACGCAAGACATTGGGGCTCGTGCTGCAGCTCATATCTTCACTAGGGTAGGATTTGCTATAGCTAGAGGAGTGGGGGCCCAGATTGTATCTCGGCTTCCCACTAATTTATTGTAGGTTGTATGACTTTTGTTTTTGAGATATAATAGTAATAATAATAATAATAATAATAATAATAATAATAATAATAATAATAAAATAAAAAAATGTACAATTCAGCCACTACTAATCATGAAATATCAGCTGGACATTTGTATACAATATTTTCCTGAGTTCCTGCACACATATCTTGCAATTTTCCACAAACAAATCATCTCCAGACCTATGAGTAGCATATGCACTGAGATTAATCTTCAGGAGAGAATCGGTACATTCAACAAGACTGGCAAGAAAGTCTACGATATATACATCGGCTCTAAAGCCAGACAACTTGACCTCTTTAAGGTTCTTATGTGGAGACATAGACGGCAATTCTAGTGCTTCCATTTTCTTGAGAGAAGCTTTTGTTGATGAAAGCTACAAGCCACACAAAGAAAAAATAAAATCAATTAGGACCAGGAATAGGGGAATTCAGATTGACATGTGAAAGAAGTAGTTACATTTAGCTCAAGTAGCTCCAAGTATGGGGATGCACTGATTATAAAAGCCGCTACTTGGCAGCATAGTCGTATTGAAGATGAATTTGCATCCAACACCAGAGTTTTTAGATTGCTAAATACACAAAGTTCCATGAAATTACTCATATCCTGCACAGATGACAAACATATCCGTCATGAAAAATCAGCCAAAAGATAAGAAAAAATCAGTACGCTCAATGACTTTGCTTCTGCTTACCTCAAAAAGAGCAACTGAGACAACCATAGATTCCAGCTTAGGTAGATAAGAGGAGAACTGGTTGAAAATAAAGTTTTTTCCTCTAGGAAATATCGGGTGCATATCTGATTCAAAACCAGTTTCAACTGATAGTCTCAGGGATGCAAGCTGTGGAGCATCCTTAATACTAGTACATAATCTTTTCTTATAATCTCCTTCATAATTGAATGATACAAGATTTGGAGCCAAAAGTTCCAATTTCTTTAAGTCAAAACAATCGTACAGCTTCAGTGATTTAAGCTTTAGGTGAGGAGCTGTATTCTTAGCATTAACTAGCCCACGATTATTCCTCAAATAAAAATTTTCTAGAGAGGAACAATTGTATAAAATTATGTCAAATACTTGGGTCTGAAAGGTTTACAGCCGTAAGACGGAGATCTGTTAAAGACACAAAGCTTCTAACATTGGGAGAGGAACGATTTGATATCATCATATCCTCTCGAGCAAACACATGGAGAGGAACATAATAATTGTTAAAACCTTCATGTCTACGCCAACTCCCAAAGTTGAGTTCAAGCTCAGAAACACGATTTCGAGTTGCAAAGGCAATCCATTCATCGATATGAGACTTAAATCTCTCAGACATTGGGTGCACAATCCTGAATTTATCTAACTTTCCACCATCAAATTTCTCTAAAACGTTGTTGACTCTATGTACAAGTACTTCAGGGTAATAATTTATCTGAAGAAAACCAAAGTCAAGAAAAGGGTATGATACCCAAACATTAGTCCATCTCTTTGAAAGGATGCTAGTTGCTATTGCTTCCTTCAATGTTAATCTTGCCACAATATTTGACAGGAGTTCATCTGACAATTCACTAATCCGATCTTTCTCTTCAATTCTTTTCAATTTCTGTATAATCCCAACACAATTGAAAAAAAAAAACATCAATAATGTTGCAAAGCACAAAAATTTAATCATAATACCATCAGTTTTGTTTGTTGCCAAGAACAAAACTTTAATCATAATACTATCATTTTATTTGTTGCAAAACATAAAATTATAACCATAATACCATCAAATGTTACCCTAAATTGACATATGTTGCAAAGCTTACAAATTTAACCATAACCCTCGATTTTATTTTATTTTTTTTATTTTATTTTTTGGGCAACCCTCGATTTTGTTTCTAGCAAAAACACAAAAATTAAACCATAATACGATAAATTAGATTCAAAGCACAAAATTCTATCAGCTTTGTTGTTAAAAAATTAGCTAAACTAACCTTTAAATTACGAAATAGAGGATGACCCAGAACACTTGAGTTGGCCATGGCTTTCGATTGTATACAAAATCTTCGATCCCGATCAGTAAATTAATGCTGAAGAACTGATAATGAAATAAAAAAGAACTTGAATTGAATTAAGGTTACTTGAATTTTTGTCAATTGAATTGAACTTTTTTTTTTTTTTTTTTTTTTTTTTTTTTTGTAAAGAATAGAATTGAACTTCCGAAAACATGATACACAGGAAACCAATATAATCTAATATTATATATATAAAAGAGAGTTTTTTCCCGAGTTTCTAGAGAGCCACATAGGATCTAATTTTCATATGTCACGTAAGCAAAATTGGCGAATGAGATTTTCCAATTTAAATTAATTAAATATAAAATATTATCTTTTCATATTAAGAATTTTATCTAAATATATAAAAAAATTTAGCACATAAATATATGTATAAAAAAATTATTTTTAAAAATTCAAACAAACTCGCACGGGCTTCATCTAGTTGTATAATAAACTAATACAAGTACTTCGTAACAAGATAAAAAAACTACTTGTACGAGTATTAGGAAACATATAACTAGTTACTTTGGAGTAAATCATATAATTAGTTTCCTTTTTTAAGGATATTTTCCTAAAATCAATAAACTACCAAAAATTCTCGTTAAAAATAAAATAAATCAATACAACCCCTTCGTTCCTGCGCAATATTTGGGTCAAATTTTAATTACTTTGACTATAGAAGTATGAGTATGGGATATAAATTTCCAATAATCTAAAAGATATATATATTTTTTTTTTAATAACTTAGTCATGTAGAATTTTTTTTAATTCGTTGTAGGTAATAGATATAAAATTTATATCTTGTCTAAGGCATCGTCGTTCACTTCACCTTACTTTATAATAGGTATTTTTCTATATCAAACAAACATATACTACATATAAGGTAGTATAAGGAATATTGGAATAATGTAAAACTCCAGTTTTCCATAGTTCATATCATTCTACATCATATATTTTTTTTCCTTTGAAAGATTTTTTTGCTCCAACCGGAATTGTTACATTTCCTTTTATTTATTATTTATATTTTTTTTTAGAATTGTTGATTTATTTATAAAAATAACACTACAATTCAATAACTATAAAATAAAAATTAAAAAACCTTGATTATTAATTGTCACAAAAAAAATATTCAATTAAATTTGTATAAAACATTATACCGTCAAAGTATGCTATAAAACATTGTGTCAATCAAAACATGCCAACAAAATAGGGATATATGGGGTACATAAGTACATTTCACGGGTTATAATTAACATAACATTTTAATCTTATATAAAACCCTATAATCATTAAATATTGCTTCTTCTTTTTTAAATAACTTTTGATTTTTATATAAAACCCTATAATATAAAATTCAATGGAAAAGAAAATCAAGTATTGTTTCAATTAAAAATATTGATTTTTATTATTTTTAATTATTGTTAAATTAACATTATAATTTATAAATATGCTAAGTAAAAACCGTGCATTGCACGGGATTTAAACTAGTTTCCAATAATCTAAAAGATATATATATATATATATATATATATATATATATATATATATATATATATTTAATAACTTAGTCATGTAGAATCTTTTTTAATTCGTTGTAGGTAAGAGATATAAAATTTATATCTTGTCTAAGGCATCGTCATTTGTTCACTTCACCTTATTTTTGCTTCACTAAAATTATTTTTAGTGAACAAAGAAATAGGCCAAGGCTTATAATTTAATTGGTTGAAACATACCGCTTCAAACCCTACTAAGCCTACTACCCTCTTCTTTTCACCCGAAACAAGGCAGCCAAAGTCCCCGCCACCCTAAATACCTCAATCTAACGGAAGCTCCTAGAACCACACTGTTGCCGTTGTCCTTCAGGGATGCCTCCTACGCTAGGGGAAATTACATTTAAAATGGGAGTAGCGAAACTCTTCTCATTTCTATTACTGAGATCGAGCTATGAAAGACGTTCAATGAACAAGACTAGACAAGAGTGAATCATACAGAGGCAGAAGTCGAGCTAGGAGGTCTTTCTTAAGTGATGATTGAGCATTTTTTTTTTATTTTATTTTGAATGGCACTATATATATATATATATATAATTTTCTTACAAAATATACTCTCCTCTTTTTTCCTCCTTTCTCTCTCCAAAACCCTAGCCTCCATTGTTGAATTTTGAAGGGGCTTCCATCGATTTTAATCAATGGAAAACCCCCATCCTTGTTTCTTTATTGTTTTTTTAGGTTTATAATAATGCTTCCTCCTTTTGGGAGGAACTTTTCTCCCTCGAAAGAAAGGGTTTCCGATCTCCTTCGAAAGACAAGGGTTTTTCGACCTCCTTCGAAAGACAAGGTTTATCTCCTCTTTTCGAGGGAGAAATTTCTTAGTTTTGAATCCATGGTAGCAGATCTAATGGATTGTCGTGAAATTATTTCGTTGGTGAAAAAGTTATCAAGTTTCGAATACGAACAGATAAATCAGAAGGAAAACATCCTCACAGCTACAAAGGATCGTTAGATTGTCTCTCCAACAAGGCTGTAATTTTCAGCGATATAAGCGGGAGATGCTCCGCAGTGCAAGATCTACTCGACGATCGTAGTTTTTATGAAGGAAAATTCTATTTGATTCAATATCTTATGTATTTGTTAACGTCGAATCTCTATTGTAGATGTCGTATGACTTTTAATTAATGAAATATTTTTTCTATTAAAAAAAATAATATATATATATATATATATATATATATATATATATATATTTATATATGGTTGAGATCCAATGTGAAGGATTTCAAAATGAGAAGAATGAGAAGCAATCTTAATCGTACAAATGAATCCAACGGCTCACAATTCACCTGTACAAAGTGCACATTTAACACAAAAACATATATATACTAGTTTTGTGCCCCTGCGATGCTCGGGTTGTTTATGAAGTTTATTTAAATTTATCCAACGTGGCGCGACACTCAAATTTTATTTTATCAAAAATAAAACTCTAAACTAACAATTTTATCCTAAAATTCTATCCAAATTTGATTCAAAATAGAATTATAAACTAACTTTTTTATCTTACGAAGTCTATTTGAACCTATCCAACGTGGCGCGACACTTGGCGAAAAGTTAGAATGCCTTCGCCAAGTGTCGCTGCCTTGTGAATTGGCTAAAAGTTTTAGCTTTATATGTTAGTTATATGATATATATACACTTTCATTTTCACATTTTTATTATATGAAATTCCACAACGATAATCATCTTAATGATGGAGCGAGGGTCCTTTTTTTTATTTATTTATTTTTAATTTATAGGATTGGAGGGTCTTCTACTAATATCTTAACTACCATGTTATAGAGGGTATCTTCCCAAAATGCGTCTTTTAAGGTTATATATTTTTTACAGTACTAGTTTTTGCCTTGTGTAATGCACGAATTCATAATAATAAGATATTTAAGTAATAACGGTCAATTAATATGAAGTTAGTTTAAATGAAAAAACTTATATATTATTTTTTTTTAAACTTGAATTTATTTGTAGTGGAGACAATAAAAAAATACTCCCTCCGCCCATAATTATGTGCAACAAAGGAATATTTTATATCTCACAAATAATACCCCATTTGTTGCACATAATTGTGGGCGGAGGAAGTATAATTAATTTACTTTTAACTGATTTAGACTCTGCTCTACATGATGTTATAGTATTATACGTAATGTGCCGTATTTTTTTTTTTTTTTTCTAGTTTCATGTAAAGTGGGAGGACAATTTTGTTGCTAACCATCACACAAAGTTTATTCAGTTTGGTGTTGATGAGCACATACATGGGTAAACCATAGCCTTTATAAGTTTTTCCCGTATGTTTGTATGGACAAAATTATAACTAAATAATGCATGAGATTTTGTGGTGTCACAAATAAAATGTATGGACAAACTATTAATATACACACTAATCATTGTGGTAGAGTTATTAGTGTTTATTTTGAATGAATAAAAATAACTTTAAGTACGAACACATTCAGTTGAATAGAGGAGAAGACAAGTTTAGACATTATAAAATAGATGAGTTTTCGACATTAAATCATCTTAATCTGATCTAGACCTCACATGCATAACTGCATAAGGATGATAATTCATCTCTTAGCTTATGAGTTATGACGATGATGTACGTTACTGATTAATTATTGTTTGCCCTTGATATTCACTCGACACCTTTTTTTTTTTTTTTTTTTTTTTATTTTATAAAAGCAACCGATGATCGGCCACCTGTGGGACCGACTCCCGACCAGGATGTACCGGCAGCTACTCGACCGGCAGAATACACAAATTAACTACAAATAATTAGAAAGGGTAAAACGACATCTTATTGCTATGTTGTTTGCCTCCACTTGACACCTTAATGTGCTAAGGCCCCTTATTTACAACTTTATATATAGTTGTCAATAATCCTATAAATCTATAATCATCTTAGGTAACTTGTACAAATAAGATTACTTTTTGTGTGAATTATTTATAGTTTTTTTTTAATAATCCAGAAAATAATAAAGCTTAGTTAAGCTATCAAAATAGGCAAATCTATTTATAGCTTGGTTGTAGTGAATAATATATTAATCAACTTTCATTAAACAATTACATAAAATCAAAGCCAACATATTTTTGTCCTCAAACCTCTCATCACCTCTTTCCTCATAATTATACAAGTTTGTCACAATTCACAAACACATACAAAATAGTATATAATTGGTTCGTGTTCTTCCGCTAATATTAAATCAATCCGAAAGTGTAAGATATTATTATCATTTTCTATTAGCCATTTATATTGTTTTATAACAAAGTATTAAGAAGGAATAAAATTCCACCTGAAACATAGTTTGTTCTCAAAGGAAGAACTTTATGTGGCAAGAAAGTGGAGGGAGGTCTATTTCAATAATGTGCGCAGTACTAACCTAAGCTAGTATTACCATACGTATCATGCAACATTGAATTGTCCCCATCAAATTGAGCTCCCAAATGAAGTACTTATGTCATATACTCGTGTTTTCCGATGATAAATCATGTGCTTTTATAACGATAAGTAACATTTTTTTCGTGATATATACTAATATCTATATTCTCTCTATTTCAGACACATCTCAACGAACATTTTAAAAAGGCATAACTTACATCTTATATACTCTTTTTGTTCATAATTAATGAGTTGATAATTAATTCGAACAAATTTTACTGTTCTATATACTCCAATATGAATCATTGTGTATGGAATACTACACTAAGCTATTCATCAAGTTGTAATTAATTTGTGATTATATTATTTATATAATCATAGGTTTTATTAACTATTGACATTATTTAATGAACACAGGCCACTTTTCTAGTGCCCCTTTTTCTCAAAAGGCCAAAACCATAGAATACACAAAGTATCTAGAAAGCTTAACTAAGTATCTTCCTTCAATAAGGTCATTTTAGTAATTACACAATACCATGCCAAATATTTTTTTTGAAACATAAGTATTTGACAGCTATAAATACACACACCCTTTAGTAACCTCCTCAAAACACACCAAACAAAAACAAAGACAAAAACAAACACAAACACAAACAAACACAAATACAATGAGAGAAACAAACACTACTTCTGAGTGGAGATGGAACTCTCCAACACCCTACCTCTTTTGTGCAGTGGTGCTACTCATGGGGCTTATTGCAACTGCATTGCTTATGCTTGCTTGTTCGTACCGAAAGCGGCCGGTCTCACCCTCGACCTTGTTCGATGGGGAGCCGGTCGGATGGGAAACGGCCGGGGTTCAATCAAGCACCGAGCTCGATACGAAGCCCAAATTTGTTGTGATCATGGCTGGAGATGAGAAGCCTACCTTTTTAGCTGCACCAACACAAATACATGCTGTTTCTTCTAACCACATTTGTAGATGTGATTCTCCCGTCTAAGCTCTTAGACGTTAATTACATTCATGTTGTTTTAGATTAGCTAGATTTTTTTAAAAGGTGAAATACCCATTTTATGTAATACTAGTACTGGTTTTTTTTATGAACCATTACTAAACTTTCTTGCTACTTGATTTAGAATGATATGGCTCATAACTTTTTTACACTCGTACGTAATTACTCGTAGCATCTAATTAATTGTCACGTTACTAGTTCAATACAAAGTGGTCCGTACACTCTGAAGTATTTTCATGAATACACAATTTATCTAATCCAGAAAATGCTCTAAATGACTAATAATCTAAGGAACAAAAATATTGTTGGTAAATAAAAAGAAAAGGGGGTATGAATTCTGAACAGAACTTTTAGACGCAAGTACACCATAATATGATTAGCAGGATACCCAAATTAATTTAAGAGGAAGATGGTGATTATATTAGTAAACACACATGCATCACCTATTTGTCAATTTCTCGCTTTACTTATTTGGTCAAGATCATAAATGACGTGATAAATTGAACAACATACATAACATATTATTTTTCCGTCTCTAAACTAAAAAAAGGCTAATTTAATGAGTGGAATCCTTCGACATTATGTCATCATTCTAGAGAGATTGAGAGAAGCAATACTTGTATTAAACAATGAACATGTTAAGTAACTTTAGACTGAAATTCCTGGTCATTCCTTTTTTGACAAAGGTTCTTATGATAAACTAAACGCCAGCCCTTGAATTATATATAGATATGATTATTATAAAAGGAAATAAAACCATCAAAAGTTGCACAATTTCTAATAGCTTATATTATCTCAAAAGTTTTATATTGAACAAATTTCATATATTTCGGACTTACAATAACTTATTGTAATAAGATTAGAGTAATTTTTGTTTATTATACATATATATATGGATGGCATAATTTATTTGAGAGTAACAACTAACAACTCTAAGATCACAATAAATTACAGAATTCCAAAATTATTTCAAAATTAGTTATTAATCCGTAAATTATTGTAAGGTCGACTCATACATCTGGAATAAGACTTTTTAAATGTTTGTAGTGGGAATGTGGGATGCAGCAACTCGAAAATGAAAATCGTAAAAGGTGGATGAAAAGGACAAAAGAAACAAATAGAGTACTGTTGAAGAAAGGAGACATCTGTGGGTGGTAAGAAGGGGAAAATTCATTGTGCTCCCACTGGATTAAATTATGCTACGGATATTCTCTATTTCATGTATTATTAATAAAGTAACTTTTGATAAGCATTACATTTACTACCCTTCATATCTAATAAAATACTCGTAAGTAATTTAGGCATTAATGCATTTTTTTTTTTTTTTTTTTGACAGAAGGCATTAATGCATAATTTAAACTTGTGAATCATATAAAATTCATATAGCAGTAAAAAACAATTTTGATGACCAAAATAGTTGCATCAGAAATTGCAGTAGAAAAGGTATTGGATGTTAGAAGCGGCAGCATAAAAGCCAAAATTAGCATGCACCAAGTCACCAACTACCCAAGTTGCTTAAACATAGCACTTGCTTGATTTTATTTATTTATTTTTAATTATTTTTTTTTTAATTTTAATAGTTTTTTTTTTTTTAAAGAAAATTTTAATAGTTTTGCTTTGACTTTTACATTATTTACATATATTAATTTGATGATACCCGTCAAAAATAAAGAGTGATGTCTATGTATCAAAAGTATACATAAACGTATTTGTGGCACACGCATCTTACTCCTACAATCCTACACATGCCAAGTTAGGGCCTCTTCTATTCAGCTTAATTTCAGTTCAACTCCAATTAGTTTAGTTCAGTTCCTAATTTTCTTCTCTCATAAACAATTCATTCTAGCTCTATTCAGTTCAGTTCATTTCTCAGTTCAGTAAATCATAACATGCCCTTATACATGTACTCCGTGTTAATTAACATGTACCCATTTCTAATAACAGTTAGTGTTCAGTGTTCTTCTCGACTGGATTTCACTTATCTTATTAAGTTATTAGTCATGAACAACTACGCAAATACAATTCACTTGGACCTTAGATCTTTAGGAAAATGAGATTGAAAAAAGTCACCACTCACTAGTCACAGTACTCAGTAGTCACTAGACTATGATAACAGTATAAATAAAATGCTAGCAATTCAAACCCCTAATCATAGTCAGAGATTTATATAAAGCAAAAGGGTGATTTAAATGCCTCAAGTATATTCTCATATTCTTCTGTACAGTTAACATGACAACTCTCTTTAGTTTAAACAATCACATGCAAGTCACTTTGTAGGATGGAGAACTAACTAAATGTCATTTGACAAGGAAGGTTCAGCAACAACATGGAACTTATGCAGATCCTTCCGGATGTTTTGTTTCAGGACAAGTTATTATCAGATGTGCATAACCTTGAACGATGATTGAAACGAGACTAGTTTAGAGGAGATAGAAACTTCAGAATATTCTTTAGGTGATATATCTAACCAAACGAGAAAAGAAAAAAAAAACATGGAAATATACAATGATAGACGATGAATACTCTATCAGGAAAAAACTCTAGATACAGTACTAAGCTTATGTAATCTCCCTCAACCTAGCTGTAGCAGGCTAATTAACCTAATTTAACACCAGGTGGTTGTGGACTGGCGGTAGTTGCCTCTGATGGAAGTGTTTGGATAGCACTAGTGGAGGCAGATAGAAGGGTGCGGAGGGGAGGAGAAATGGGTTTGTGTTTTTACTCTACCTCTTTCAAACTTTGGAAGCATCAAGTCTTTCTTAAAGGGAAGGAATTTCGAAACTCGTATTCCCCCAAATTCTCTACCCCCGATCCATATCCAGATAAAAGAAAATGGATCGATCACTCTCGCCCCTTCTTTTCTGTTATCTGGACACACTACAAATAAATAATAACAAATACAGTAGACAATAAGGGTGAACATATCACTTCTTTTATTGAGAAGAAGGAAGAAATCCTAGAGAACACTAGATTCATACTCCTTCCCAGCATCACTACTCCAGCTGCAAACAAGGCTCGTCACTTTCTTCCAGTTTAATCAAATCCCAGTAGATTATATATGCATCCTTTCTACAGAGAACTTTTATAAGCAGTAACCATGCTGATTAATGATTTTTAAAGACATCAATAGTACGAGAAGATTTTCTCAAATCAAAAGAGTCAGTGAAATATAGTGTGGTATGCCATATGCTAGTAAGAGTCAGTGAAATTAGAGGAAGCAAAGAAAATGTACTTAGCTTTTCAAACAGCTTAAAAATTGAAGAGCTTATCAATGTTATACGAAGTATAAAAAAAGGGACAAATACCATCTCTAGAACTAAGTATAGAGATTGGACTACAGACTATGACTATCCCCAGGTTATCCGAAATTCCGAAGCCTAATACTACTCTCATCCATCATTTGGGTAATTTGGCTATCTACGTTTCTAAGCTTTTTGATACGAAGAGTACTAAATACCACACCAAGTTTCCAAGGAGAAATGTATAAGCTTCAGAATCGAACAAGGGCAGAGGCTAGAATCACTTGTGACACATGCAGGTATTAGGTTTTCTTACCAACAAAAAACCGAAACATAAAGATTGGATAAGCTTATGCACCGCCATGAAAGAGGACGATAACCTAGTTCTACGAAGAAAGCAAAACAAGCAGAATTTCTAGCTCTGTAAATGGACAAAAGGGAAGGAAATTATGGGCTTCACCACAGATGAATACAAATGACCTATGAATATATGCATTCCCAGTTGTTGGAAATTCCTGTTTCAGCCACCAAATCACAAGCAAAAACCCAATTCCAATTTCCATAATCTATACAAATTCCACCACTCCACCAGCCACCACTTTATCTAGTCGTGACAATAAACAAGGGTAGAGGCTAGAAGGATTCCTGACACATGTAGGCATTTGGAGTTTTTTATCTACAAAAAAGCGAAACAGAAAGATGGGATATGCTTGTTGCACCGACATGAAAGAGGTATACCTAGGATCTATCTACAAAGAAGTCAAAGCAAGCAGATTTCCTAGCTCTGCCAATGGACAGAAAGGGGTGGAAATTTGGGCTACTCAAATAGTAAACAACTTCCTTTGCCATAGATGAATGCAACCAAAATAATACCATTGTAAACCAACTTCAATACATCAAGTCAACTATACATACAAACTAAGTAGAGCTAACAGCGTGTAATCTTGACCATTTATCAAATATGTTGTCTACATATTGCTAAATCCAGTCACATAGTGTCTCTAAAAAAATACATTCTGTAAATCTGTATATAAACTACCCAAGCTGGGTGTTTTAGTACATCCAACAGTAGCACCTTCGTGGCTGAAGGAAGATGGAATGGGATCAAGAAAAGAAAATAATAATATAAGACCAATATGGAGTGAAAAAAAGAATGGAGTTAGCATAACTAAACTTATCGGAGGGGCTTGCAAGCAGAACTGACATGTACGAGTAACTCAGATGAATCTTTGACTATATAACACTTTCCAGTTACCTTATTTCTGAAAGAGAGGGATTGTAATCATCTACAGGCCAAAATTGCACATCTGCACAAACTCCATGTCATTATCCACATACTTGCTCCATAACTCCTTGTATTGATTCATTGCAATATCGAGCCAAGGCTTCATGCTCCCGCTAAAATGAATGACTGCTGCATTAGTAATCTCATCCATGCTCACGCTTGGATTATAACCAAGCCCAAGGACGTGCCAAGATTTGTCCAATGTCTTTGTTTTCAAGTAGAATGTGGCCAGGCCAGCTGGAAGAGTTCCTAGCTGCCACAAGGTATTGTCTTCATTCTAGAAAACAATAAGAGCAATGAAGTCAAAAGAGGATCCAGCTCAAGACACTTGAACATTAGCATAGAAATATGAATACTACAACTACAAGTCAACAACAACAACAACAACAACAACAAAGCCTTAGTACCAAAATACACAAAGCTCAAAAGAGAGGTATAATCATACCAAGTTCTGCCAGTAATGG